AGGTAAAAGGATAAACACATGATATTCACTTTGAACTAGTGGTGGCAATGAGCCGAGCCGAGCTGGCTCGGCCCAACCCATCTACCCATGATCTTGGCTCGTCAAAGTGACGACACGAGCTCGTGCTCAAGGGTTGAGCTCGGCTCGGCCGGGCCCACGAGCTCATGGTTTTTTTTATTTTTGGTTTTTTCCTTTCATTTTTTACGAGGCCGCTAGTCAAAACAACGAGTCGAGCAAGCTAGGCTCGCCTAGCGAGCTAGCCTGCTCTGCTTGGCTTGGGCTCGTCAGAGTGGCTCACGAGCCGACGAGCCGCTTGGCTCGATTACCACCTCTACTTCGAACGTTGGTGGCTTTACTAGTTGTTAGCGAATATTTGAAATTATGTTGAGTTTGGACAATATAGAATATATTTATGAGTTTTCAAGAGTGAAGACGCTAGGGAAGATTTGGTCTTGTGTAGGATGAGATCACCTAGAGCCATGATAGGCTCCGAGATGGCCACCTAATGCATTTAATTTAGGCGATTGGATGGTGGCATGCATTGAATTTTGCATCCCTATAGGGCTGGGCGTAGGCCAAGGCGCCTTACAACCTTCTCGGAAGAGGTGCTTTGACACATTCATATTTTATTGATGTCTTTTCATCCCAATTTGATCGTGTAACTTGTAACATATATATAACATATTTGTGACTCTAAATAGATTCACGAATCATTTGGTTGAAGATGATGGAAATATTTTGGAAATAAGTAAATTTTCCTTGCTGTACAAGCCTCTTGAATGGTGATTTCTCTCTCCGTTGTGTTTTGAGTTATTTTTTAAGTTCACGACGTAAATACGAAAGTAATGATTCCATATTATCTTGGAGGCATTTTGCTTTCACTAAACGCTAATACATGGTTTAAAACCAACCGTGGGAGTAGTTATTTTCTTGTCATTATGAAGCATCTTCGTCATGGGTTTGATTTGATCTTCTCGCAATTTCCCAACCTCTTCATTTGAAACTTTTACAACAATGAATATTCATTTTTCTGGTGTTTGGTAACCAATACCAACAAAAAATTAGGATCCTATTTTTAGTTTATATTTTATTCTCTCTATTTGTTTCTAGAACCACTAAGAATTCTAAAATCTAAAATAACGATAATTAAATTTATAAAATATAAGGCCCCGTTTGATAGCACACATTTTCTATTGAAAATTGAATTTTTTTTCCATTTTTCAACTTTTGTATTGTTTGATAGACAAAATTTTTCGGGAAAAATATTTTTCAACTTTCTAAATTTTCCACATTTTTTAGGAAAATAAATTATTAATGTTTTGGTGGGTAAATATTTTCAAGTTTTTTTTTTTGTTTGCAATTGGAAAAAATTTTAGACACAATTATAAACAAAAAATTCACATTCATTGACAATTTTCACGCAAAACAAAGTCAAACGAATAGTATTCTGTATGTTTATTATTTTTTAATTTTTTTTGATAATTGGAACAAATTCTAGACCGAATGGTAGAAAATATTATCACTTCAATGGACAATTTTCATAAAAAAATGAAGTCAAACGAACACCAAATTTTCAACATTTTTCATGAAAAATTATACAAATCAAACATAATAATCACAATTCTTTGTAAAACATTTTCTTCCCACCCATTTTTCACCTTACAATCAAACGGACCATAAGTGACCAAGTTAATTTTAGCCCTTGTTTGATAATCATTAAAATAATAATAATTATTATTTTTTCACAATCACACATTTTCACATGAAAATATTTTGCACGTATTACTTTTTGATTATATATTTTTCACAAAATCATCACTTTAAAAATTATTTTTATTTTTTCAAAAAATTCATTTTAACTTATTTATATATAACATTTGCTTGTTGATAGAGTAATGCTATTCATCTCCACTAATAATGAATAAATATATAACATTCTCCTTCCTTTTTCAAAAGAGATGTTTAGTCTACTATTTCCTATTTTAACTTATTTATATATAACATTTGCTTGTTGCAGCGAAGGGGCTTAGTCTACTATTTCCTATTTTAACTTGCGACCGTACACAAAAAGCGAATAGGCAAGTTGATTATGCACGTCGTGTTGGACAGAGTTAATCCGAAGACGACAAAGGGCTGATGAAATGTACATCAACTTATCTACTTCCATTTTCCTTTTTTCGTCGGTTTAATTATTAAACTGAAATTTGGTCCCCAGTCACATGATAAGAGCACGTTCTAAAAACATGACCTCGTTTGCTACTCAGATGTCCGTTGAATCGATATACTTGTGTGAATATAAAACTACATTCGACGCCAAAAGGCCTGAGGTAATAAAATATTTAGGGTCTGTTTGATTGCAAATGTGAAAAACGGATGGAAAGAAAATATTTTATAGTGAATCCAATTGTTTAGAAATTATTTTATTGGGAATTGTAATTAATTATGTTTGATTGGTATAATTTTTCACTTTGAAAATGTTGAAAGTTTGGTGTTCATTTAACTTCGTTTTTTATGGAAATGATCCATTAAAGTGATTGTTTTTTCTACTATTGGGTCTATAATTTGTTCCAATTGTCCAAAAAAAATTGAAAAAAAATTACCATACAAAATATCATTCGTTTGACTTTGTTTTGCATGAAAATTGTCAGTAAAAGTGAATTTTTTTTTACCATTGTGTCTAAAAAATTTTCCAATTAAAAAAAATAATAAAATTGGAAAGCGTGAGAGCCACAACCAAAAAAACAAATTACCTAGAAAAAAAGGCTATCAAACACTCAAAAAAAAGTGGAAGTTGGAATTTCTTTTAAATTTTCCATGAAAAATAATGGTGAATCAAACATAGCCTTAAAATCAATACAAAATTCTAAAATTGGTATGGCCAAAATTACATTAGTATTTATAAACCTGGCCAAATATTCACGTTCTTTAGATAATTGCAATGAGAGAAACTCAAGAATCGCAAACAATGATTAATGTCGATATTGAGAATTCATTACATATAACAAAAAAAAAAAAAGTAAAATCAGGGCTATTCGAGAAGATTGGGTTTCATTACATATCACGATAGATTACATAGGGGGATATTGGGAATGGTCGCAGAATCAAGAAATAAGAAAAACCTGTGATATATAATCAATAATCATTTATACTAGACAATTGAACGCTGCAACTCAAAACATTGTTTAGGAAAACATGTTTAATCTTAGACATAATTAAGCAAAAACATTGTTCTGCCACTCTTCATTTTAAACAAATCATGCATGTGTCTAAACATAACCCCCTTTAGCTTCTTCTCATGCCTAATGCCTCGCGGCACAAGATCAAAGTCTGCGTCTTATACTTCAATCAACTTCTCACATCCATGTTTAAAGAATTGGCAGGCTAGACTAGATCTAGATTCCTTTGGATCAAATTTCTCCCCCATTGCATCAATTCACCGTTTATACTTGATCACAAAGATGCTGCAATCGTGGCTGCACAATTGAATATGAACTTGGCCAGACAACACAAGAAATATGGATGATTTTGATGGAGTATACCTTAACTTTTGGCTCAAGGAAATTGGTTAAAATTGAAATGATTTTGGCTAGCTAGAACTATTGTTTTCCAGAATCAAATCCGCAATAATCACCATAATTGTGATTTTTCCAAAAGGGAAAAAAAAACCCTACATTGTTTTGTAAAGCTTGAACCAATCGACGTAAATATCTAAAACTCACACAACCATTTTCTTTTTCCAGCCCAAGAGCTTTCTTTTGGGCCTCTCGTGTGTCTCTATTTACATTGGTGGTGCTGTGTCTTCGCTTCATTCCAATTTGGGCCTCCAGAAGTGAAACCCAGGGAGGGGCCCATGGTCTGAGAGAGTTTTCACTCAAAAGACATAAATGATAAAACAGTGTTTTATTGGGTTATAATTTCACTATTAGCCACCCAACTTTCCAATTAGTGTCATCTTCACCATCGAACTTTTAAGTGCTTACTTGATAGTGCTTTTAAGTATTTATAAATTACGAGTCGCGAGTTCTACGAAACTTGTGAATAAAAAGTATGTTTGATCAAATTAAATTATAGTTTAAGCATTCTTAAATATATTTTAAGATATATGACTGTCATTCTCCAAAAAACTCAGACCCAACGTAGAAGATAGTAAACACTTTATGTACTATTTAACTTCGAAAATCGAATTGATCATAACTATATTTACTGTTCAAATCCACTAATCAATTCTTGTTTTGTAAGTCTAACATTTTAAAATTCTCGATTTTGATCGAAAACACCCAACGATTTCACAAGTCAACAATTACAAATTGTCAAGGGCTAGAAACCAATTAGAGATTGCTTTCAAACCATCCCAAATTCAAACTCAATAATGGTTCAACAACAATGTATGTATGCTGACCACATTTGTGTCTAAAAAAACGGTTTGAAATCATCAATTGCCATGCGAATGGTTCATCACGATTTGACTTATTCATAATCAAGTACGACTTTTGGTAATTTTGGCAATTATTATTCATAATTAAGTACGACTTTTGCTGATCTGACCATTAATACTCATAGTCAAATTTGTTCCGTGCGATTAAGGCATTTCTCGATTTACACACTATCACATTTGCAAGAAAACTGTTATGAGCAAATTATTGAAAACAAGTAGCTACTTATTTTAACTTTTTTAATAAAAAGTAATAATAAATGAATTTATTACATGTTTGTTTACAAACTTTTACTTATTTTCAAGCTTTCCGAGCATGCTCCAGTGGAAAAAATAAAATAATGGCGTCCAAGCCACCAACTCATGCATGATTCTGTATACAATACAAGGATATATTGCCATTCATCCCACCAACTCATGCATGATTCTATTTTATCAAGAACAAAGAGCAATTTCAAGAACTTCAATGAGCAATTTGTAAGTAGAAAATATGGCTAAATTAATCAGAAAACATAGCTTATTTTGCCAAACATGGTATAAGATGTTAAAGACGGTATTGGATATTCATTTAAACCTTATCTTCAATAGGATCGAAAGTTATGGACGATAAAATATCACCTTTCCAACTTAAATTTTCTTCTTGTATCTGCAAAGACTTGTCGCCCAAAAGCTCGTCAATGGATCCAGGAACGGAGGACATGGAATCATTGTTTGCTGTATTTTGCCAAATTGAATTTGAACAGCCTGGAAAAAAATCAGATTGCAATGAATTGATCCAAACATCTGATGAATTCCCCCACTGTGATTCATCAAATGATTCCAAATAACAGCTTCCCCCGAATACAAATTCTCTTGTCAATTCTTGACTGTCTTCATTTTCAGTTTCATTTGATATTGATGGACAGCCCTTATCAGGATTCTTTTGGACAACACTTTCCTCGCAATCAGGCTGAAAATCAGGCTGTTTTTGGATTTGATGCAAGTTTTCAAGTGGAGAATTTTCAGCAGCGTGACTAGAATTTGACGGTGTTGATGATTCACCTGATTTTTGGCCAAAGAAAAGGTGTGGGAAATTTAATTTCGCCTTTTTCCCTCTTAATCTGAAGGCCTGTCGATCATAAGCTAAAGCGGCTGCTTCAGCATTATCGAATGTCCCTAACCAGAGTCGAGTTCTATTGCGAGGGAGACGAATCTCAGCCACCCACTTACCCCAATGGCGCTGTCTCACTCCCCTATAGAGTTTAGGGATAGCGTCGGAAAATTGTAACAATCCTCCTGTTGGATCCAGGTTACGCTTGCCATTTCGATTCTGAAGAATTTGATTGTGTAAATCAAAGCCTAATAGTCCCTGGCGCCGCTGATGGTCAGGCTCGAAAGAAATCATGTTTTGGTTCTTCTGTTGTGGTGTCAATGAACGAAACTGCGAAAACAGGCCTGTTTCATCAGGCTTATCTAACGCGAAAGGGAAAACTAGTTTAGAACGAGAAGATTGAAAAGAAACTTTCGACTTTTCTTTCTTGATCCTGGATCCAGATTGAGGAATCTCTTGATTTTCATTGTCATCATTCTCTTTGTGCGTGCTACTATCTTTAGTAGGACGTTCCATCGATGCTATATCGAATCAATATACTTGGACAGCAGAAAGTTGTATTAAGAAGAGTCTCTCAAATGGAGTTGAATTATATTTTGATAAAGCAAGAGGCATGCTTGCTGATGAAAGGCTTATGCATGGGTTGAAGAGATAGATACCTATACAAATTGAGATGACTTTGAAAAGCTTGAGATATGAAGAAAGCAGGAGCGTATATATACACGTTGGCAACAAGTTTATATTATTTATATATATATGTAGAATTGTCCGTCTAAAGCTTAAGAGGTTAAAGAAATCTAAGTTTAACGTATTTTTTGACGCCTCACTCGATTGCTTGAATATGCGCGTGCGATATGTTAAAGGTCATTAGGATCAGAAATTAATGAAAAGTCAAAAAGCTGATAACGAGTCATGAGAACAATTGAATCCAATACTTTTTACGTGCTCTAATACTGTGTTGAACCATTTCATCTAAAATTTAAATATTTGAACTTAGTAAATGTCCGAGGATGAGTGGTTACCCGATTAAATAATTTATATGTCACAGTTTACTTATAAACGACCTCTCGACCATCTCTAAGTACCACGGTGAAAGAGATTGTCCCGTGGAAGCTCCATTGGGCTCTAAAGACATTTAAGACACTCCAAGTAGCCTAGTCACCAAAATCAACAGAACACTGTCTCTATGGATGAAGCAAAAGTGTTGACAGAATTGATGCATGGCTCTTGATATACTCATTCAGTCATTCTCTATATAACATTATAGGGAGACTTTGATTGATTCTAACAGTTTGCTTCTGAATCTCAATAAATTAGTTGACAAATTTCTCAAGGCAATTGTCACTAATACAAAGTTTTTGATAAAACTGGGATTTCGTCTTAAAATGTCAATCTTGTGAAGACGAGTAATATAATATTTTATATATTGATTAATATTTTTATACTACGGTCCTTATTTTCAAAGGATTATGAAGGCAATGGATCACATTGCTGAAGCAAAGCGTATACAAGTTACAACTTGCATTCAGCAGTTACAACCATACGAAAAGGATTAATTCATTTGGATAATTTCACGAACTAAGATCATTAATTAATTCGGATCTTTTAATGTTGTGATCTCGACTATTCTCCAAAAAAAGACTTAAGAGAGAAATGAAAGTAAAAAAGTGTGATATCATTGAGTTTTACTAATTGCATTACAAAAATAGAAGCGTGCCACATTATGACAATGGTTGGTGAAAATGTCTCTCTCTTAAATCTGTCTACCTGCTTTCTATCACACTTGTGATATATAATAAACTACTAACAAACAATCTAAGTCAAATATACTAAATACTTTGCACATTGTTAGATTGCATCTTACGTTGCACTTTTCTTAAAACATCGTTAAATTTAAAACACTATGATCTCCAAACTTGTAAAATACTGTATACTAAACATGCATTCCTTTTCGAAATTCATAGGAAAGTTCATAGTCAACATTTTTTGTTGGCAACCGTCGTGGATGGGAGGCATTGATTTGTCTTGTTAAATTGTTTTATTTCTTGAATTTCTGGCAGGAGCCATTACGGGTGTCACAAGGGTACACATGATCTCATTAGTAGGCCATAATGTCTTTACGTGTCTAACACATTCTTGAATTAAGTTAGGTATTGTCCCTATTTACTTGTTGGGACATGTTTCTACCATCTTCAGCCCGAGCTCTTACACTTGGTTGCTAGCATGATGTTTTACTTTAATTAAACATTGACAACAAGTCAACTGAGTAACACACAGTTTGTCTATATTAATTACATTTTTTTAAATCCGTGTGAAAATGGAAGCAAGCATATCTTTGTGAGACGGGGTAACAGTGTCCTATATATAACATCACCTCGATACCGAAGTAGAAATTGGTAATCAACACACTGAGGATCTTATCGATATGAGATAGCATTTTCTTTACTTCAACGCAGACATCTCATGTCTAGTGCTCAAGTTTCTCGTCATGTAAAGGAACACAACAAGAGGTTCATACAGATAAGTTTATTGACATATATAACAAGGGAAAAATTTACAAGGTCATAAAAGTATATATATTGTAATAGTTGACTCCATGCCAAGATAAGCAGCAAACCAAAAACCCACATGATGCAGAAAATCCAGACATACACTCGAGGCTTAGTCGATTTCACTTGAACAGTCCCATGCCAACACAAGTTTCTCCTCCGTATGGTCCATGGCTTCCCTGAGCCTTGGAATAAGAAATATCATAGAACTCGGAGATAATTCCATTGAAGAAAATGAAAGATGCTCCTACTGCAAAAACTCCCTTAATTTCAATTCTGCCAAAAGTTGCACTTGGTTCTAGTTTCTTGTGGCATCATAGTGTACCATGTCTCGTTCGCCTTTACACATGCAAGTGCAGTGGCAAGAGCGGTGAGTATTGAAAATTGAAGCTCGTCTTTCATCAACAAAATAACATTCCATATGTATATCATCATTTCTTGAATTAACACCCTAAATTTACTACAAATCCACATATTCATAAGAAGCACCACACTGAATCCAAATGCAGATAGATGAATAAACCAATTAAAAAAGTGGGAAAAGAAAGAGAAGACAAGACATCAAGATCCAGTGCTGCTTCTTTGCTCAGCAGCAACAGTCAGCCAGTAAATATATATGAAATTCAGCAATTCATCAGTCAGCAAATCAAGTATATAATAAGTAATATATACTTACTGACTGACTGATGAATTGCTTTGCTGACTGACTATATTAATTCAGCAATTCATCAGTCAGGCACTTATACTATCAACAATGCTTTTTCTCTTTCTTCATTTGAAAAGTGACAATAACGAAAATTATGCATGCCCGATCCTCAAAACCCATTTAGAATTCGTACTCCCTCCATCCTATAAAGATATATTTGTTTTCCTTTTTTATATGTTCGAAATTATAGACTATTTTCTTTGTTGAGAGTATAATTAATTTCTTAATATTTTAATATATCCCATTTAATGTGTATGGTTATCAATAAATATGAAATATACTTATTTAAATTATTATTTAATGTATATTAGGAATAATGTAAAAACAATTATATTTTCAACTATATTAATTACATTTTTTTAAATCCGTGTGAAAATGGAAGCAAGCATATGCAACAGTGTCCTATATGTACTCTCAACATAGAATCGAAAAATTTCAACAACCTGAGAAGTGGAGGATCAAGAAAGATTCCCAATAGGGAACAATCACGTAACACTATGAACCATTTTTATTTTTTAGTGATAATTAAAAATAGATTTTTAGTATATTTTAATAAAAATTTATGAAATATATGATTGAAAATTTGTATATGGTTAAAATTAATTGTTAGCATTGATTTAATAATAAGCCCTTGTTTGATGCACATTAAAATGGAAAGAATGCATTTTTTTTTTGTAATATGATGGTGAATATGTGGTTGAAAAAGAAGAAAAAATTATTGATACGATGAAAAATATTATTTTATTAAAGAATGTATGGTTGAAAATGAATAGAATAATGATAATAAAAATGAGAATGTGGCTCAAACAAGGGCTAAATAGAAAATGAATGACTCGTAGAACAGAGCTATGAACGCGTTATTCCCAGAAAAGGGGAATGAATTCATAAGGATTCCATTAAAACAAGCCGAAAATAGCTCTTTATCTTGTGATCATCTCCTCAATGTCACCCCAGGTACCCCCATGGTCCCATCCATATCTCCTGCATGTACTTGTATAAACACTATATCATAGACTATACAGCATGCACTTGTGTGTGTCTTCTGTAAACACGCGTTCATTTATTGCGTTTAATTAAGTCATTGAACTGTGTGATTTTGTGGGTATTTTTTTTGATTTTGAGTGCAGGGATTGCGTGAGGAATAGAGGTTTGATTCAAGACAGAGTTGGGAATTTACCGGCGGAGTGGTGACAGAATGAAACACGAGATGGCGGGCATGGACAAACTCCGGCCATTTTCAAGAAAGGGAATCCTCCCCTTTCATTGAAGGTTTATTTTTTGATTCATTTGTCTTACTGCATTGCATGCATTATAAATAATAAATACAGCAACGTAAAGGGTTTTGAATAATTTACTCCAAATTGGATGGGTTTTTCTCAATTGAGTTGGGCCCTAGTACTCTTGAATTATCTCCCAAGCAATTTTCACGTTTCTCCAAGAACGTATGATGCTACAAAAAGAACGATCTTCAGGAATGTAACGACTTTCATTGCACTTTGGCACTAACTTTAAGTGATCCGCCAATGGAATTAGTCCTCCCCCCAGTCTTTATCACCATAACCTAGTGGATGCATGGCAGGCTTCAAAGCGACAGCAGTGAACTTCTTGTGCTGCTTATTCGTTCTCCTCTTCAGTGTATTAAGTTCTCAAGGCCTCGGACTCGCCATTAGAGAGTTGGTCCTGGACCAAAAAACCGCATCCACACTTGGATCAGTAATTGTGCTTTCGTTTCTTCTAGCAAGTGGATATTATATCCAACATGTTCCCAAGGTCATAGGATGGATCAAGTATATATCTATAAGTAATTACACATCCAAGCTCTTGTTGTGCTCACAATACAAGCCCGGCTGGTGATATTACGTATACTTGTCTTGTCGAAGACCGTAGGACTTGGTGGAGTGACTATCTCATTGGTTGCCTTGGCTATAATGCTTGTGGCATAAAGGTTGATTGCATGTCTTGCCCTCATGAGAATTGGTGTTGTAAGGAAATAAAGCGATTCTTCGGGAGTTTCTAACCGTATTGCTTGATGTAAAATAGAATAGTAGATTTGTTTCTATATGTCGTGATTTTACTAAAGCCAGTGACTGAACTTAGTAGGATTTTTTTCCCCCTAATTCTCAAAGATACATAATCAGCGAATTAGCAAATACTTTTGCTTTTATCAGATTTTTAGTTAATTTTGATGAAAGTTGATAAAATGTATATAAATAAAAGGAGAAATTCCTGGTGGTGGGTGATTTTGTACCCCAATAAATGGG